AACAATTATCAGCCAAAAAAATACTATATTCAGTGAGCCTCTGGAACGCACATTGTGTATCGGGAACTGATTTTTGTGATTGCGAGCAATAATGTTGAACCGACTAATATGTGACTAATGTCAGTCCGGTGTGTGACTGTCATGAGCTGACATTCGACTGATTTTAGAGAGGTGCCTTTAATCAGTTATGATTGAACTAAGCTCAGTCGCGGTTGAAAGCGTTCACGCTTTCACGGTATGGTGTACGGGGACAACCCGCGCGGTAGGCTCGTGGAGGCGCGAGTTGGGCCGGCCCGGCACACGGCGGTGCGCTCCGGGTGTGCCTACCCGGCAGGCGCCCTGACCCACCGGCACCACCCACCACCGGCACCCCGCCTGCTCTGTCGACGTTGGCATGGAGTGCTACTGTGCCGCGGTATTGTTGAGGCAAGATCTTCGCTCTCCGCTCCTGAGCGAAGTGAAAAAATGAACGGCGACAGTCGGAGAATACACGAGTTGGAAGAGATAGCGGCGTTTTTGCGAGTAGGTATCATGCTTTGCCAAAAAACCAAAAACAAAAAAAAAAAACAACTGCACAGTACTTATTTAATTCAATTTTCGGACTTTGTAAATAAGTCGTTTTTCAAGCTTTAGAATGCTCAATACGCGACAACAAACCTTTCGGGGTGACCAAAGACGGCCTAAGAAGCAAACATATCGTTTTTATTGTCGATTTTTTTAATTATTTTTTTTTGTTTGTTTTACGTGTGGTGAAATGTGTGCACATTTTGATTTGCTTTCGACAGGGGGAGATTCGTCGTCGGGAGAGAGATTTGATTCAAATTCCTGTGGAACTGGCAGAGAAAATAAGCATGCTGCGTAGGACTGCCCAGGCCATAGAGCAGGACTTGGAAATGATACAAGGTAAAGTTTACCCGGGAGGGACATGGGTTTTCATGAACGGTGTTGTATGTGTGCAATTCAGTCAAATGTATTGCCTGCTTACGAACGTCGTTTAGTATTTGTTAGTAAAGGCAATACAAATGTCCTCTATCTTTTCAGACATGCGGCGGCGTAATCAGCAGCAGAGAACGTCCAGTGTCATGTCATTCCCCTTCCCCCCGCCTCCACCCGGCCCCGGCCCCGGGCCGCACAGAGGCAGAGGTCCAGGTGGCAGCCGGGGCCACCGTCGTTGGAGACCATGAGTACAGGTCTCCACCTGTGTTACTCAAACAAAACTTCCTGTTTCAGTAGAATCATTTTATTTGGTAAAAAGTTGCATCAGAGCAAGGCAATGAATAATTTTAATTCTTTTTAAAATTTGTCTAATAAATATACAGGAACTAGACCTCTAAAATGTAAAACGGCAACAAAAATAAGAAATTTGAAACAAAATTTTGTATGAAAAACTTGAACAAATAAACAGAATTATAAGTAAACATCCCATCTATTATTCTATCTCCAACCAATTCATACGCTCACACAGAAATAAATCTCCATTTTTAAGAGAGACAGAGAAACAAATGTGCAGCAAACAATTTATGTCGATCAACTCTACTTCATATTTGATGGAGTAACGTAATATGTGTCGAATTGATTTTAAGTTGGCGGAGTCACTGAATCTTTGCACAACTAAAGGGCTTATTGCAGCAAGAAAAAGGGTTCTGCCGTTGTGGCAGGCCTTGATAAAATGCTTTATGATACCATAACACTTCCCATTGATGGCATTGTATGATACTAAGTAAGATGCAGTTTTGGTTGCTCTGCAATATGACTGTGCAACAAAAAGTGTTGACTCTTTTTTCAGTTTAGTAAAAAATACACAAGAAGAAACTGTAATACTTGCCTTGAGCAAAGCATTTACAGTTCCAACTTCAACATTTTTATAGTTAACATAATTTCCAGCTGCAAAAATGTGGTCATTTACTTGTTCCAAGCACTTAACATTGTGATATTTTTGGTGATGAAGATTTCTTGAAAATTCACGGATTTTGTTAGACTTGATACATTCTATCTCATATGGAAGAGACAACAGCAAATAGGCACAATTGGCCAGTTGCAATTGTACATATTTGGTACCATGAATCATTCGTAACATCTCACCATTTAGGGATTCAAATGGAAAGCAAGAATAGCATCTCATTGGCCCAAGGTTGTTTACAACAAATGCAAGGTGTAGAGTATTATGGACATTAATTGTCATATGACGTTCTCCATAATAATCTTGAAATTTCCTAACAAAAGTGTTTAGTTGCTGAGAACAATGCAATAAATCTTCTGGTGCTATAGAAGATGAATTAAGAATATACAAACAATGCACTAAAATAGCAAAGTGATCAAAATATACTTCTGGCAAAACTCCTTCTAATACAGGGAGAGCTAGATATAATAGAAATGTTTTCATATGTTTTCCTTTCCACAAGGTAAGATCACTAACAGTGCGCACACCACACTGCACAAAATTTGGAAGCTGAATATTTTTGAGTCTTTCATCAACTAGATCTATTTTTTTTCTGAGGGACCATGGCATCCTCTTGAACTTTGGCAAAAACCACAATTCCATGAGTTTATGACCTACTCCGTGATATGAGTGATGTAAATCATCAATGCCCATGCCACGAATCATATCAGGCATTATCTTAGACAATGCTGTGGGTCGCTTCACACCAAGTACATGAGCTTTAAGGTTTCCTGTTTTTTGTCTCTCATTGAAAGCTTGCTCGGCATGTAACTCAGTTTCCTCATGGCGCCTCAAATCCAGGTTTGCTGAGTATGGAAACACCCAGACTGAACCCTCTCTTTTCTTCTTCACAACAAGAGTTGATTTTTTTGTTTTAGGTTTCTGTCTAAGAGCTTGAGTTTCTTCCTCCTGCTCTTCACTGCCACTATCAGAGGGCAAATCTGTTTTAAAAAAAGAACATAGTAGTTATAAAGGAAATTAAACTTCAAGTCACTGTCACACTGTTCGAAAAGTAGATGAGGGGATTCGAAACAAACGAAGATAACAAAATAATCAGAGGGAAACAAACAATTAGATTCAAACTTAACATCTAATTGTAATGAAGTTAGCAGAATATTACCTTGAGCAGCTTCTGTAGAAGCCTGGTTAGCTTTGACACCCTTCCCATCTATTTTGCAAACTGCACATGAATTGGAACCACTTGGATATTTAAGCCCCATAAAATCAGCTTTGGCTGGTAAGTCAGCAGTGCCAGCCAGCAATATACATTGAACAGTAAGTTTCTCCGGAGATTCATAAGGTTTAACTTCAATACCGTTGCCTAAAGATGAAAGGCTATCAATCAATGGCTCTAGCATCATATTGGCTATTGGCTTACTGCCATACCAAATACCACCAATCAAAACATTGGATTTCTTGAACCTCATTTTATAAGGAAGCTCATTGATAACAAAAAACATGGGCCACATTGAAGTTTTTGAAGACTTAAAAACGGGAACACCATCTGAATTCCAAGTTAGTGTCAAATTATGCTTCTTACTTCCACTGAAAAATCCATCAGCCTCAAGCTCCTTATAAAGTTGCCCATCGTACACATCTTCAATGTTGTTCTCTCCACTTTTCTTCCTGCTCAGTCTTGACAAAATGTTCTGGCAAAAATCTTTTCTCTTGAAAATTGTCTTCAACTGATGTTCTAAAGATATTTGCAAGAAATAACTAACTTGAGTTTTCTTTACCTTGTGAGTTTTAATGTTTGGGCATTCACTTATTTCATCTTTAAGTTTTGAGTAACAAACAGAACAAAAGTGGTGCAAAATTACTGGTGCCTTCAGATGAGAAAAATGCTTCTTAAAAAAGTAAAGTGAATCCTTCATGTGGTTTTCTTCTGGCCGTAGGTGAAGTGCAATCAATTTCAGTAGATCAACAATTGATTTTCCATTGAGATTATGCCTCATACTAAAGGCTAAAACAGACAATAGGCTCTGACTTAATGTAATGGGAGCACCTTTATACAAAGGTTCATCAGAATTATTAAATGCAGAGCCAGAATCCTCGGTATATTCCAACAGATCATCATCTTCAGAATCAATAATCAAACCAGCATCAGAATCTGTAAGCAACACAAAAAAATAAAAGCTAATTAAAGTTTGACCAGGTGAATGCACAACCTTATACCCCTAAACCAAAGTAGTTCAATTTTTAAAATTTTTGTCCTTATCCTAGCTTTAATAAGGAGCTTCACACAATATTAAAAAAGTAAAATATAAAAACTAAGGTCCATTACTCTTGCTGTCCAAAGGTGTCAATTTAGAGCAGAGCTAATGTAGGGTGAACAAAATGTATGACTATATTTTTCCAAGAACCGAACTTAAAATGTTGACTCGGGTAGAGGTGCCCTAATGTTGAGCTTGAAGTCACTCAATTGTGACATGCGCCGCAGCCTGAAAGTTTATTTTACTTCACAAGGACTCACCCCAGTTTTCTTCGTCACTACTAGATACGATGTCACAATCTATTCCATCATGAAAGCTAGCCGTTGGGCCTACTGGCACTGTGTCACGTAAAACATTTTCTGCTTGCATTAAGTTTGCTGAAATCAACAAGCAGAGATTAAACACAGCAGGTTTATTCTAAACTCAAATGACAAGTTTATTCACTATGTCAATAACGTACACACTATTTCAGGTTCACTAGCTAAACTTAAATTCATATCATCCACCTCAAAGGTTGTATCTGCTTGTACATTTGGTGTACCTGGTAATGCCAAACATGTCTTTAGTAAATCACCCTAATCACTCATTTAAAAAAATAATCATATGATGAACTTGGATTGAGACAATTTTACCTATATTCGTGGTATCAGACAGTTCCACACCACACTGAGGCTTATCGTTGTTGTGCAAGAATTCAAAGTTTGAATCATCATCCTCGATACGTAAAGACTCATTTGCCTTCTCGACATCTGCAGAGAATATAATTAGCATGAGAGATTTATTGGTAGTTTGGAATTTGAAAAGAAACATTTTTTTTTTACAAATAGTTACAAAGTATGACCCACCAAAAGGAACACCAGGGCTACTTGGAGGATCAACAATCGTATGGGCTGGTGAAATACTCCGACCATCGGGTGAAATACCCCGACCATCGCGGTACCCCCTATCAATATGCGCTTATAATTCATTAGTCCACACAGACCCGCTCATTACTAAGGGCTCTAAACAGAACCGCTCATCTGCACGGGTCCTACGCAGAACCACTTATCTTTCTGAAATACGGGCGGGTGATTCCCAGATATCAATGGATGTTTCTAGGCGCTGAGCTTCAATTTCGAAACAAAAAAAGTAACATACCCTCTCGTCTGTACTGGAACACCGTATTTAAACTGCTATAACCCGTAGAAGCCTCCGACATTGGGTAATATTGTGGTAAATACGAGGGGCAACCTAACCTAACCAGCGCCCCGGCCGCGAGCAGATGAGCGGTTCTGTGTAGGACCCGCGCAGGTAAGCGGTTCTGTTTAGAACTCGAGGTGATGAGCGGTTACGTTTAGCCTAATAAATTATAAGCACATATTGATAGGAGGTACCGATCGGGTGACACATCACTTCCAGAGTCGCTTTCAGAATCATTACATCGCGGTCTCTTCGACATAATTACCGGTAAACATTGGTTTATCCAAACACTGATGAAAGCAGACGCGAGTGCGCTCTCCTTTCATAACAAATAACCTAGAGAGAGGAACAAGCGGAACCTACTATGACGTCAGGCAAGGCAGCGAAAATCTTAACGGCATCATAATACAAATCTTGTAAAAAGTAAATTTTATGCACTAAAATTAACATAAACCATTATCAAATCACATAAAAGTTGAAGTTTAGATTATTACGAAACAACTATTTTACTTTTATTAAATTTGAATGCTGGACACTTAATTTACTCATGTTGGTACTACAAAAAAATGAATAACACCGTTGTGCACTTCTTCAACACATGGTTAAAAAAGGCGTCTTGAAGCCAAAACCGAGAAAGTTACTAATATTTTCGGGTACGTATGACACTATTTGATTTCTCCAATTTTCTAATTGACCTACACCCTCAAAACGCATTTGTTTGAAAAAATGGTTCACATGTCTTTGCTTTCGTTCCGCAGACGTTGGTAGTAGGGAGCTGTGGCGAGGCCATGTTGTTGGTCGTTTTCGCGGTGAAACAGTTAGAGCACTTGTGAGGAGAGGTTTCTGAGTGTACCTGTAAACATAATTTTAAATTTATCTGTCCATGATGATAACACGCGACGGAATAGGAGCCAAAAGGAATCTTTTTGGTGCTGCGGCAGGTAAGATCTTTTCAGTTTATGATGTAATCAGCTCTTCTCGAAGGCTCCCAACGGTTTTTGAATTCTAGTCATATATTTTTGACTTGGATGGAACGCACATGATATTTAGAGAAAAACTCGTTCGTTTAGCTCACACACATTAATTGAGAGGAAGTTTTCTTTTGAAATATTAAACGGAAGAGTCCATGTTTAGTTGAGGTTAGAAAACCTATTGAAATACAACTCTGCAATATCGTCTGATTTTAAATTGAGCCTTTTAACAGCCAATAGCTATGAGACTATATTCAGTATTTGTTCTTTGAATATTTCTGTCACTACCTTCCTTAATTTTTTTTGTTTATGTTGTTTTAGGTCAAACCTCACCAAGGGGAAGTAAAAGGAAGATGAGATCTCCACTGAAATCTCCTCTGAAATCTCCACTGAAGGTGGTTAAAAATAGGCAGAGTCTTGGGCGGCTTGCAAAATCCAGACAATCAGATAGAATTGATCTGACGAGGCTCACTACGATGCAATATGATGACTTACTTGACGGCGTTGATCCTGACGGGGAAGAAGAAAATAGTAAGAGCCGTGAGCAGAAGAAAAAAGATGCGGCTCAAAAACAAGCAACTGAAGATGAACTCAGCCTGAAAGTGCAGAACATGAGTAACATATACTCTAAGAATAATTTAGGTAAATGAGCTCAGTTGTCAATGAAATATTCTTGATGCGTTTACAATATGAAGAGGTTTACTAATTGCAGACATCAATAAATTTTGCAGGTTCTACAAAGGAAGTACAGGAATCACTGACAGAAGGAGTCAGCCCGTCAAAGAATTTGAGGGATTCAGCAGCACCTAGTGGCGCAGGTACTGTAATTGTTCAAGAGAATCTAGGATCCTTGAGTCGCGCACACACTGTAAATGATCAGGAGAATCCTGCAACACTGCGTTCAGCTGAGGGTGAAAATGATTCTTCATCTGGTAGTGTTTCTCTGAATTCAGGTAAGAGACTGATGACACCAGAAATCTTGTTTCTGTCACCACTTCAAAACATCTGTGAATAGAGAGCAAAATTAATGTATTATTATTATTATCTTTTGTATTTGCAGGTGAACAACTGGACAAAAACAATGAGGCCGACGAAACCATTTTAGATTCAACATTACTTTTAAGCTGTTCTTCTGAAACTCAAACTGACAAGTATATTTGTGAGAAATGTACTAGTAAGTTCTAAAAACTCTTTGATAAATGAGATATATTGCAAAAGTCCTTGTAAATTTTTCAAACCTAATGTTTATTATTTAATTTTGGCTTTAGCATTGTATGCAGACTTAGAGTCTGTTTTGGTGAAGCACATATCTGCATATGGGGTATGAGGATTTAATTAATTATCTTCCTAACATACCTCTCGAGCTGCATCAGTATAGTCTGTTTTTTTTTTTTTTTTGCAGGAGCAGGCCAAAAAGAGCAAGGCAACTAATGCCAGTAGTAGTGCCCAAGGACATACTGTGACTAGGACTGGGTCTAAAAATAATAATAACTCTTCGTTTGACTCCTCCCCAGAAAAAGATAAAGAGGTAAGCTGCAAGCTATCAGCTATGTTAAATAAGTTCTGCAATATTCTATTAAAATTACATAAGACTGCATACTTAAGATTTCTTCCATTTAACAAATGTATAATTAGGTGTTTTTGTTTTGCAGAAAATGTCATCACTTGTTAAAGGTTGCCCAGTACGTATACCTCTAAGTAAGAAAGCTGCACTTGAAACCGAGGTACCAGATGGGGACCCACAGAAGATGACTGATTATTTGCTAGACTGTCTGTTCCCTTTGGAGGAACAAGCACAAATGACTTGTGATGGAAAGACGCCACAAACTAAACCACTCTCAGACACTGTTTCTTCATGCTTGCAAGGTACTCTTGATATTTTAAACTTGTACATAATTGCTGTATTTTACCTGATTTTATTAATTTGGGGAACTTTGACATTTATTTGTAACTTCCTGCTTGCAGTGTTCATCAAGGCAAAATACAACTCAGATTCTTTTAATTTTGACAAGACCCCCTTCAAGAGATTTGTGAATGGCAAGTTTTACAAGGCAAGGACTTGGGGCAGGAAAAACCGCCCTGAACTGGTGGAGCAGGGATTAGTCAGGCCTAAGTTGAAAAAGAATACTAAGAAGAAAACTGATGACAATGTTGACGGTGGTGGTGACAATAATGTAGCCACTAAAAAAACTGGAACTCCTGGAAAGAAGAAAAAAAAGAGTGAAAGCCGTATGAAGCATTCAAGTAATCATAAAGCCAAATCTCAATCACAACCCACCAAGCATAAGGAGCCAGATGTCAAGATCAGTAACCGCAAACAATCATCTGAAACTGATAGCCAAGGGAAGAAAGAAAAGAAGACTTCACTGCTTAATACACACAAGCGTGACAGCAGACAGAGAGATGACGAAAGGAGAAATAACAGTCGGAGAGACGATGAAAGAGGAAATAGCAAACATAGAGTCGATGAGAGAGGAACTGGAAGACACGGAGACAGTGGAAGTGGTAATGTCAGAAAATTTCAGAAAGACGATGGAAGAGAGAGAAGTTCTAAAGTAACATATGAAAACCGTGGTGAGGGCAGGAACTCAAGAGACATTAGGAAGAGATTTTCAGATGATCTTGTCCATCATCCAGACCAGGGCCAAAAGCGCCCAAAATTCTCTGTTGTTTTAGAAGCTGCAAAGAAAATGAATGCAACTCAACCTAAGACTTCTACTCCCAAATTTGTACGTATTTCGGTTTTTCTCTCTTAAATAGTATTTAAATAGCTTTTGTATGCTAAATTGCTAACTAAATTTTCTTTACACAGAAGAACGTACATCATGGCGCTGATGGTTGGGTTACGGAGCATAATATTACTAAGCATTTTGTAAGTTGTTTGTTGCCTGTGGTGGTGCTTTTTTAAAAAGCCAGTTTAGCAAATCCTTTTGGAATCATACTTATCTATGCCATTTAAAACAATCTTTTTGCAGAAGTCATCCAAATCCAATGGTGATAGACGAGCAACACAATTCCTTGACAGCGAATTTGCAAGTCTTGAAGGCTCGGAGAGTGAAACTAGTCGCACTTCAAATAAGCACAACAGTGACGATGACTCTGGAAGTGAAAGAGGGAGCCAGAGTGGGAGTGGAAGTGATAGTGAGAGTGGGAGTGGAAGTGGGGGTGGGAGTGGAAGTGAGGATGATACTGATTGAGCAATTATTAAGATTGTAAAGACATTTCTCCCATTTCAAGTTTTCCTTTGTTTTAAAATTGTGTTTTTCGTGGGAGATTTTCAGTTAGAATTTCCAAGTTGATTTTAAAAATCTTCTGCTTCTGCAAGGTTTATTCAGAATGTTTAATTATTTTTCCTTTGTTTAGTTGCATTCCAATGTTGTAAAGATATTTACTGACATAACTTATGTATCCTTCACTTCTACCGAGTATTATCCTATGAGAACCTTTACATACTACTATGGAAAAAAATGATGCCAATATGCATTTGTAGCTCTTATCACTGCACTTAGCACTGCTATTGATGAATCTCTTCTCATCCAGAGCAAGATCCAATGCACAAATACACAAGGACTATGGCGCCGCCCCCGCCCCGTCGTGCCCGGCCCTGCCCCGCCCCCGCCGTCCTCTCCCCTGGGGCCGTAGGAGGGAAAGCGCCGTTCCAGAACTGCCCCCCCCCCTCCCCCCGAAACGACGTCATCCTGGTGGTCTCCCCGAGGAACGCCTCAGCGCCCGCGTCCCCAGCTTGACCACCACAAGCCGACCCTGGCGCCTACACCACTCCCGTTTTGCTCGCCTTCTGCCGACGTCGTCCTGGCCGGGTCCGGCGGCGGCCCCGCGTACTCTAGGATTCGCCACCTGCTGCTGGTGCGGCGGTGGTAGGTCCTCGTCCTCTAGGGCCTGCCCAGGTTGCGCCTGCTGCTGCCGTGGGGGCGTCCTCCAGGATGCCACCTGCGCCGGGCCGCGCTTGCTGCAGCTGCGGCGACAGCTGCTGCTCGTCCTGCAGCACCCCGATCTGCACCGCCCCGACCTGGGCTGCGGCTGCAGCTGCAGCAGCAGCGGCTGCTAGTTGCTGCCGCGGGGGCGTCCTCCAGGATGCCGCCATGCGCCGGGCCGCGCCTGCTGCAGCTGCGGCGACAGCTGCTGCTCGTCCTGCAGCACCCCGACCTGGGCTGCAGCTGCAGCAGCAGCGGCTGCTAGTTGCTGCCGTGGGGGCGTCCTCCAGGATGCCGCCATGCGCCGGGCCGCGCCTGCTGCAGCTGCGGCGACAGCTGCTGCTCGTCCTGCAGCACCCCGATCTGCACCGCCGCTACCTGTGCTGCGCTTGGTGGAGGGGGGGGGGGATTTTTTATTAAAGCTGCAATATCGCCACTATCTTCAGCTAATGGCTGAGCATTCTCAGCGAAAACGAAACTTACATCAGCTAAAGTCAGTTGTGATCAGCTACTATCATGTCGAACCGCTTCACGATTTCAGTCAGGTTTCCTAACTTCAGTTAAGACTGGGAAGATCAGTCAAAAATCAGTTGCCCCGCACCGACTCAAACAGCCAACTTCAGTGAGATCTGGCTCAAGCCTCACGAATCCCAGTTACGTCTCGCTAATGTCAGTTATGATCAGTCGTGTCCTCAGCCAGTGACTAACACCAATCAAAAATCAGTCAAGGCCCTCAGTCAAAATCAGTCATATTCGTATCAATTCCAGTAAGGCAAAAAGTGGGCTCAGTATAATCAGTAAAAATAAGTGTAAAATCGGGTAAAAGCCGAGAATATCCGGGTATATTCAGTTAAAGCCAGTCAGACTCACCAATACTCAGTTAAACCCAGTCAAAATTTTTGTTAAATACAGTTAAAATGAAACAATTCCCAGCTATCTTTTTCTCTAGGGTTTGATTGTAAATGATTGTAGGTGATTGTAAATGATTCAGGATGATTTAAATTATTGTAATGATTCTACATGATTGAAGTGATTGTGATGATTGGTGATGATTGTTGGTGAAAAAATCATGGTTGTGTGTGATTTTTAGTGGTTCAAGAGAGATTCAGGGAAGATTTAAGTGATTTAAGAATGATTGTGGTCATTTGACGTTGATTTAAAACGATTTATATAAGATTGTTGGACGCCTGATAAGAGATTCAGTCGTAAAAATTACAACTGAGGACAGAGATATTTGAGGTGTCGGATGATCCGTGCTTCGATTGCGATGGTCTAAGAAGTGATTCTTGGTTATTGCGATGATTCAACGGCGGATTGTGATGAGTTAATGAATGATTGTAGTTGATAGCTGCGATTTAATGCTGATTGTAGAAGGCTGTTCTTTTGAATCAACATTGATTTTAAGTGATTGTTACGATTTTAAGAGGAAAAGATTGTAATTGATTGTAGCGATTGTAAAAGATTGTTGTGATTCTTAGGGATTTTAGTTGCGATTGTTAGTGATTTAAATTAGATTTTTTTTCAGAGTGTACAGCGATTGTTCGAAGTGAGGTACCCCTCGACCTTAAGTCACTTTCAAGTATACTTTAGCTACACTTTTACATGGCTAATGTTCACAGCATTAAGTATTTCGCACGGCTGTTTTCAAAAGTGTAT